CAAGAACGCAAGAAATACCCCCCCCGGGGGGGGGGATCACCATGCCCCAATCCCTTCTCCTCCATTCTCCTCTCATAATCTTGGGCACAGATGCATATGTGCCCAGCATGAGTTTAAGCCACCGGGTCCAGGACTCGAAGCACAGTTGACTGCATGGGAGTCCAGCCACATAGCCCTTATGCCAACTGCTATTCCCTGTACATCTATTCTTATTGAGGCATTATTTACAATAGCCAAGATATATCATATAAATAATTTATGCCTGTATAAACAGTTTAATAGATAAATCCAAATGTTTATGTATATAATAGAATGATAACCTTCCTTTAAAGGGGGAAAATCTGTTGGACCCCCCGATGGCGAACAATTCCTGAGTTGGGGGGGCAAGGATTAAAGAAAAGACAAGAAGACAGGATAGAAACAGGAGGACTGCCAGTCAATACCGGTCAGCCACAAATTAAGTGTATTGCTCTGTTTTATACAGAAACATTTGGCTCCCTTAACGTGGGACTCAAAAGTCCTTGCTGAGTTTATCAGGTTGTTGTAACAATACTCGGAACATTCTGCACATAACAGTTCAGATGCCCAAGGTTAGGTCCAGATAATAACCTTGGTCTCCATCTAGCGGTCACGTCCTGCACGTTCCTCACGTCTCCTTGGCTCCCCACAAAAATCCTAACATTTTCAGTTTATTAAAAAAAAAAAAATCTGCCACTTCTGACAGGCAGTAGGCTGTGCCTGTCTTAGGTTGTCCCAGGTAACATTTTCTCTTACCCGTCATCGGGTAATGCATATTTGTATGCACCCCCTGTCTTAGGTTGAGAAACATCCCAAGGATCTTACCCGTCATTGACTACCAGCCTCTGCATCTAATGCCTTGGCTTCAAGTTTTAACTGATGGATTCTGGAGCAAATTCCAAGAAAGGACCTCCCGAGTATTCACACAAGGCAGGAGGCACAACACAGCAGCACAAGACCCAGACCTAATAATGGCAGGCATTAACCATTGTTGCCAAGAGGTCCAGTGTGGTAGGAGACCATACAGTTGTTGCAACAATTTATGTGCCTCTTGTGCTGCATTAAAGGGAGAGGAACGTGCCTTCTCTATCTCTAAGATCTCTCGATGGAGTGTAAGAGTGTCCATAGTTTCATTGGTTCCACACCAGATACCTTGTAAATGTTTTTTGACCTTTTCCCAATCATGTTGGCTTTCATTATAATTTTAGAGGTGACACAAATCCATTGATATAAAGCATAACATCAGACAGAAGAACTCACATGTAACCCATCTACCCGGTTTCCCAGATGTACAACAATATCATAAAGAGCATCCAATTTTTGTTGGATTTTTTTCATCAATAGTTTCTTGAGTATGTAAGGCTATGGAAATATTTTTGGACACAGTATCTACAAAACCAGCTGTTTGTACTGTCTGTGTTAAAGCTATGGCAGAGGTGACTGCAGTCACCAAAATGGATATAAATGCAATAATTCCTGTTATTATGAGTCCTACCCCCC